GGTTCACTTTCTAAAAAGGCCATTTATTTCTGTCTATAATGATGTACAAATGAGCGTTCTTTCTCATTTTGCCTCCGAGAAATGAGCAAAAACGGGACGGAAAACATGAAATTTTGCAATAATCTTACGCCACCCTTTCACAAAACGACGATCATTTTTCTAATTTTATAGATAACAGAAGACTGTATTTTTTCTACATAACCCCCCCTAACTTTAAAGCTGGATCCGCCCCTGCCTCTACAGGCAACTAAGCGACGTGGAATAAGCGTAATAAAAGACACCATTGATAAAGGCGAAGCGGAAAAAACACTTAAAATGAATCTTACTTGGACAAAATTCATGTCGCTCAACAACGGAAGAACCAGCTCCTTGATTTCCTTGCCGAATGGTATTTTGGCTTGCGGCAACCACGCCCAATGGTATGGGTACGCCCGCCAGCTATCCGGATGCTTGTAGGGAAATGCCAGGCCGTTGTCAATGGCGGCAATTTTGATTTCGGGCATATTCACCATACTCCAATCAGTCGACTCCGTTAGGTCCACTTGCTCGCTAACGGTGTGCCCGTTCGAAATCGTCGGCTGATCGTACCTGATCAGCCAGTTATCGTTGCCACGATCGGTATTTCGAATGATGTAATCCAGAACAACCAGCCGTTCAAACTGTAACTGGAACTTTTTCGCTATGGGAGGCGCCAGCGGCTCCATCTCGAACTTGGAGAGCCAGTGGTGCGCGTCCTTGTAACTGTTCACAAAAAATTGAAAAGAACCCACCTGGAAAGTGGGAGGTTGCAATTAGCATAAAATGTTGGTGAAAAATTCGTTATCAACCTTTGGCGGCAGCCCTATGCGATTGAACCGCAAGCCCACGTTGGGGAACTGCTCCATAATGGCCCGTTTCACTCGCGCCTTCTGCCGGTCTATTCTCAAATAGTTGAAGGTTTCTGACACTAATTTCACTACCTGGAAACGCAATCGAATGTATTCAATTCCGGGGGCAAGGAATCCTCCAACGGGCTCACCCTAGTTTTAGGAACGATGTTGAGCCCCAATTTGCTGTCTACCAGATAAGCGGCCGCCTCTGACAAGTAGCCCTGATTGGGAATGAGACACGAACGACCAAAGCAGCACGGACAGCACAACTTGTGCATCCATTTTATCCATTTCGGGTTCAGTCGGCCATAGGGTTCTTCGTCTTTTGGCTTGAACACTGCTATGACTTTCTAAGGAAAAAAATGTCGTGTTCAACACCCGAATCGAATATAGATTTTAAAAAATAATAACTCTAATCGAGCAGAATCTGTGCGAATCGTCCCAAAAGCCGCAATTAGTCTTGCAATTAGGGCTCCCCCAGACGCTTCAATTATCAATTTTCTATGCTTAATCTGGGATATGGCAAATTTGCTTGAATTGCACATCGGTGTTAAGCAGTAGAAGGCCATTGGAGGCGAAACCATTGCACTTACCCCCGCTTGATTTTTCACAAAATACGACCCACTGGAGCCCTGAGAGATGCGCTCTGGAAAAATCCCATTGTCTATGGCCGTTTCCGCTTGCCAAACCAAATCGGTGAAATCGGGATCATCTGCAATCAAGGTGTTATTTTTATGGATAAATGCTCGAAACTCCTGAGAGGGAGTCAGGCAGATTTTTTATCACAAATCTGTAAGCGTTATAGTATGATTGTGCTTAGTACACATCGCACATCGTAAGGATGTGGTACACAGTAAGTGCGCTCGAAGTTCCGGAAGGAGAATAAACAATACGCGTTTGTGCTTGTCCTGGCCTCATACAGCTTACCTGGAAAATGATTGTACGAGACCTCAAGTCCCCCCAGAAGGGGCTGAGACTCCCGATTGATCCCCGGGGAATCCAAGCTGCCGTCGAAAGCCACTTCCGGAACAAGGGGAACGTCTTCACCGTCACTACTATGGCATACAACGGAAAGGGGCGCAGATCTCGATGGGGGCTCGTGGACAGCGGCAGTGTTGACCAGGATACTCAGGGTCTCGCTGGCACTCATCACCTGCAAATCGCTTCGCTACTGTTCCGCATATGTATTGCCGCAATTCGCAAGCAAATTGCCAACTGATTGCTAATTGACAGGAACCGTGGGCCTGGATGGGGACATGCGTTGATTTATCTGCAAGATAAACAATCTTCTACGTCTCAGGATTTATTTCTCTTTGCAGCTATGGGCTAACCTTCGAACGAATGGTTTGCTCGAGGGAAATTGGAACGATGGGCACAGTTTTGCAGGTGGGCAAATTTTGCCGTTTCAACGGTTTTCACGCAAATCCGCAACAAAAAACCGAATCATTTCCCATTTTCAATATCAAACACCAGCTGATTGTGTGTGATTCATTTAGGTGACAGCTGTCAGATTACAATAATCTGATACGTGTCTGTCAGTTGTCACTTGAATTTGCTCTGAAAAAAATCGTTGAAACCATTCGCAAAGGCTTTGAGCAAATCCTGCTATAGAATTCTGAAGTACATTTTCAGCAATTTTTTTCTAAATTGTTTCAAAAGCCAGAACATACTGCGTTCATATGTTTGCACTTTAGCTGCGCTGTTGCGAATGCGATTTAGCACCTTCGCAACGCTAACTCAGTTGCAATATAATACAAGGTTATGTTCAAAAGGTTGCTTTGAATTAGCGGACAACAGGAAAAATGAAGAAAAATCGATTTTTCCCATATTAAGTGAATCGTCTCAGTAAATTGCGGTAGGATGTTTTGATAAAAATCAACCTTTACCAAGACCAGCAGCGGTCATTTGTCCAAAGTCGAAAAATGGTGAGTTTGATTCAATTCTATGGAACTTTGCTCGAGGCCTAGGCCTGCCATGTAGCTTCTTATTTCACTCGTTTAACGTAACCATACTCCTGTTTGCACTTGTTTTAATTCATTCACCCTTACAGATACAGGGTAGTGTAAGTAGTAAGTAGTAGTTCTATTGGGACGACTGTTCATGATTTTAATGCAATTTGCGTGCATTTTTTACTAGACTAACGCCATTTCGAAAAAGTACATAACGATCGCTTGCTGTGCATGGGCCAGCCACTTTATGTCTTTGTGGGGCGGGTTTTTCTTCGACGATTCGGAAGCTATCGTCCACAACCAAGACATTCAGTCTCGTAGACCGTGGCAGTCTGCTTTTGCTAACGACTTTTGGGGCACCAGCATCACCCATCCCAGCAGCCACAAGAGCTACCGGCCACTAACCGTCTTATCTTACCGGTAAGCTGGAAAATATCGGCACTATTTTATTTGTTCCAGTACGCTTTTGTTGTTCAGATAGGCAGTACTGCTAACTACAGTATACAGTACGTACTACTAAGCAAACATTTATCAGCTTTTGCATTTGATACACCTGGGTAACAGGGGCGGATCCAGCTTTAGCTTTATCCAGCCCGTTTTGCATGTTTCTCGGAAGCAAAATGAGCAAGAACGCTCGTTTTTACATCATTCCAGAGAT